TGTATCTCGAAAACGCGTATCTCGCATACAGTATCCTCGTGTGAAAGAGCTCTAAGAGTTCATAAAAAAATAAGAAACTTCTAAGAACCGATTCCACCGTTGTGTTGCGTTAAACAAAGTTTAAAATGACATTAACAATGTCATTTTAATCTCCGTTTAACACAACGGTGGAATCGGCTCTTAAGGAAACATTTTTTATTGGACTTTTATTGAGTAACACCTACTTGAAAATTTTGCTGCATCGAAAGTGTAGCACTGAGCTACACCACTTCTGAAAATATCGTTCCCATTTATACAAATTGTATGGATGGAACGACATTTTCAGAAGTAACGTAGCTCAGTGCTACTTCTGAGAGTGCTACACTGTCGATGCAAAGGAAAAGACCTATTATGGTTAGCTATAAAAAAACGATTTTAGCCAAAATGTTTTCCCCAAAAAACTATAAAACTTTGGTTTTTTTTATAAAAGGCGGTATTTAACTGTGTAACACTTTAATTTGAAAACCCGGTATATTTGACATTTTTTTGGAACGTAAAATAAAAATTCTACCAGTAGATATATTCATTTGTTTTTTAGAATATATTAATTATTGTTCTTAACCTACAACGCGATCAGGGGGTCGATTCTCGATTCGTAGGAATTCTGTTTCTCGCGGGCATTTTTGCTGGTCGTATTGTATATGTAGGGTTTATTTAAATGAGTGTGGATATATTAAAAGAAACTGAGAACTATTCCAAAAGAATATAAAAAACAACTCGAGAACAGTACAAGTTGTATTTATTGGATTTGAAAGACAAACCAAATTTAATACTATCAATCGCCTTTTTCCTGATTATCTTTTCTGTTGATGTCATCGGCTTCGACAACTCAGGCCATTAGCCTCGTTTTCTGTGTAGGTTAAGGAGTATTATAGGTACTTCCATAATATAGGTTTTGTTACTGCAGTGCTACTTTAGGAATAGCACTGTTAATAAGAATCCAATAGTAAATGGTTGAATGGGTAATCCTAACTTTGAATCAGATTTATTTTTAAAATAAATTAATTAGAAAAAAATTCCTTACAAATTGTACTTGCTTTATTAGGTAGATGGCAATTTAGTTGTAAAATTTATAAAAAAGTGCTTTTATTATTTAGAATACATTCACAATGAAAAATGAGAGGGAATTCAAAAATCACTATAACGACACTTCATATTATTAACGACAGCTCTGTGGCTATCGCTGATGAACGACAATTTTACAACCATATTTGTCTATTTTCAACGACAATCGTTGTCTACTGAATAAGAAAAGTCGTCTGTGAACGATTATCGTCTATTAACGACGTCGTTCAGAGTTACTGAATAGGCCCCTAAGTATAGGAGATAACCACTACAGTTCACTGGAGATAACCACCAGCCTCCAGCATAATTTATATATTGTTTTTAATAACGTAGACCCCTTCAAGACTAAAGAAATACTAAATTACAAAAAATTACCCTTAGGTGAATTTTAGACTAACATCTTTAAAATAAAAAAAAAACACTGCATGAATCAAATGTTTAAAATTTAAAAAAAATAATTTGTGGTTTATTTTCATTACCCCATTCTTTTGCAGCAGCAGAAATAATTTTCTCTCAACTAAATAATAAAGTTTTATTGTTAATAGTTATTTATGCAACAAGTGCAAAAAGTAAGTGTTTATTGCACGCGACGTGAAATTGTCCAACGAAGCCGCCAGGCCAAGTTGGACAACACGTCGAGTGCAATAAACACTTTTTGTACGAGTTGCATACAATATTTTTTCTACGTTCATGCAAAAACCAAAAAATGTTTTATAGAACTGCAGTTGTATTATCCAAATCGTAGTAACCATGATCGTGTACCTTTGTTTGAGGCATTTATTTACGTTTGTATTCATAATTTGTAATGACATTTTTAATAAAATACATTTTTTTATTAATTTATTTATTAAATGATTGAAAATAATATAAAATATGCAATTGTTTTTAAAACGTAACACAGAAAATGAAAATGGACTAAATATTTGGCGTTGATTTGAATATTTATGTTTGTCATGATCATAAAACACTGTAGTAAAATGACAGATGAGTGCAATAAAATTTTTATTGCGTGCAATAAAGACCCAGTTTTTTCACTAAATATAGTTCAATAACGTTTTGATTTTTGCATGAACGTAGAAAAATGTATTTAATAATAGTTCTGGTACATTTATGTTACTTTAAAATATTATCTATTACGATTTTATTACCTTTTGATTCAAAATTCTATTACGAAAAAATTAATTGGTGTGGCAACACTGTGTTTTTCAACATTCCTGTCAATCAATGTTATTAGGCGAGTTCGGTCAGTCAGGGGCTGGAGCGGGACAAATTTTAGGGTGCTTTTAAATGACGTTTAAGCGTGTTAAAGTGTCACTAATCGGACTAAACCGAACGCTAAAAGAGTCGTTTGGAGTTAAAAGTGTTAAAGGAGTTAAAGGAACGTGGCAAACCGAACGCAATGATTATAGGCATTCCAAACAAATGAATTACCAGTGGGCAGGTTTGGTATATCTAAGGGTGGCGACATATGGTGTATTCTATCTACTTTACGTAAAATCATGAATAATCGATTACATTTAAATATTTTATGTCAAACACAATAAAAATAATATTTAAAAAACCTGGAATGCCTAATTAGGCATTCCAACGACCTGTCAAACATTAGGTGCCAGTGGGAAATTCTTGTATATTTAAGGGGGTAGCGACATAGTCTTGAAACTTGGACGCTATTTTTATTCGAAGTAGTACTCGCCAAGCCTGCCAATTTATGAAGAAATGTATAGGTGGGTTTTTTAAATATTATTTTTATTGTTTGACATAAAATATTTAAATGTAATCGATTATTCATGATTTTACGTAAAGTAGATAGAATACACCATATGTCGCCACCCTTAGATATACCAAACCTGCCCACTGGTAATTCATTTGTTTGGAATGCCTAATTAGGATAAAAATAGTGTCCCAATTGCAAGACTATGTCGCTACCCCCTTAAATATACAAGAATTTCCCACTGGCACCTATTGTTTGACAGGTCGTTGGAATGCCTTATTAGGCATTCCAAACAAATGAATTGCCAGTGGGAAGGTATGGTATATCTAAGGGTGGCGACATACGGTGTATTCTATCTACTTTACGTAAAATCATGAATAATGGATTACATTTAAATATTTTATGTCAAACAATAAAAATAATATTTAAAAAACCCATCTATACATTTCTTCATAAATTGGCAGGCTTGGCGAGTACTACTTCGAATAACAAGTGTAAATTAAAAATTTAAAAAAAACCGACTTCAAAAACGTGCAGATGCCATCACCACATCTTAACCAAATTTATATGGGATCACCCCTGAGGTACCCCCTTACTAACAAAAAAGAATCATATAAATCGGACAAGGTGGTAAAGCATTACCGCTAAACATACATAAAAAATGAAGAGTTTGAGGATTTTCTCATGGATACAATTATTAGATTTTGACCAAATTTATATGGGACCACCCCTAAAGTAGCCCCTTTCTAACAAAAAAAGAATTATTGAAATCGGACACCGTGTTAACAAATTATCGCTAAACATACATAAAAAATGAAGAGTTTGAGGATTTTCTCATGGACCGAATTATTAGATTTTGACTAAATTTATATGGGACCACCCCTGAAATACCCCCTCTTTAACAAAAAAAGAATTATTGAAATCGGACACCGTGTTAAAGAATAATCGCTGAACATACATAAAAAAAAAAAAAAAAAAAAAAAAAAAAAAAAAAAAAAAAAAAAAAAAAAAAAAATATCGCGACGAATTGATAACCTCCTCCTTTTTTGAAGTCGGTTAAAAATAGCGTCCAAGTTGCAAGACTATGTCGCTACCCCCTTAAATATACAAGAATTTCCCAGTGGCACCTATTTGATAGGTCGTTGGAATGCCTAATTCTAATTAGGCATTCCAAACAAATGAATTGCCAGTGGGCAGGTTTGGTAGATCTGACGGTTGCGACATATGCTGCGTTTGAGAATCCACATCGGATGCATCTGAGATGTAAAAAATCTTTGATCACGTGATTCAGTATACGTAAATGTAATGAGACAGATGTGTCCGATGTGGATAAAAAAACGCTCGAGATGTAAAAAATGCATCCGATGTGGATTCTCAAACGCAGCAATACGATGTATTCTATCTACAATACGTAAAATCATGAATAATGGATTACATTTAAATATTTTATATCGAACACTATAAAAATATTATTTAAAAAAACTGCTTGTACATTTTTTTAAAAACTGGCAGGATTGACGACTGATATTTCGAATAAAAATAGCGTCTAAGATGCAAGACTATGTCGCTACCCCCCTTAGATATACGAGACCTTCCCACTGGCAGGTAGTGTTTGACAGGTCGTTGGAATGCCTAATTAAGCATTCCAAACTGAATGGCTACCAGTGGGTTCTGACGGGTTATGATTTGGCAAAATTATGGCAACCCTGTAGGCCTGGTGATTTGACAAGGTCAATGAAATAGATAGTTACATAGATTGATCATCCAAATTTTTCAAAATAAACATAAGCTTATGCCTTGAAGTAAAAATGTAAGCAATTATTTTTTTTTAAATATCTAAAGGCTAAAAATTGGTTTTAAAACACATTTTTGCTAAACCGATTCAAATTAATAAATATTTGCCAGGCAATATGGCCGCTCGTAAACGACCAGCTTTGAGCAATCTATATAACTATATATGTATCATTGACCCTGTTAATGACAACATGACAACAGGGTTGCCATATCTAAACTGTCATTACCCACTGGTAGCCATTTGGACAGGTCGTTGGAATGCCTAATTATTTTCATTACCATAACCCTATTTTTCTATAGTATTGTTATTATTATCATCTCAATTTTGAATATTTAATACTTATTTATTTATTTTTATGCTGATTAACAAGCATAAATTGTGTCAATCAAGATGATACCTTTATTGAAGAATCCAGAAATGAATTTTGGAGCAATTACTTTCTTCGCTAGACAACATAAGGAAGATATGTGTGGCAGCAACGGTTTGCCATTAACGCCAAATTCGATAATTATTTATGGAAGGGCTCAAAAACTGAAATCCATAAACAGTCCTTACTTATGCCAATATCTTGATATTATTCGAGGAAAGCATGGTAACGTAGATCAATCCATTCATTTAATCAAATACTAATGATTGTGTTTTAGAACGTACTGTAGTGGTATGTCAATATTGTGGAATACCTTTATTAAATTACTTGGAAAAGGAAACGTTTACATTAACTGATATCAAAAGAATAGCATATCAAATACTTCAGGGTCTGAATATATTGCATAAAAGAAATATTGTACATCGTAATTTAAGCAGCGAAAATGTTTTACTACAAGGAAATGTTATTAAAATGTTTAATTATGGGCTCTATTATTTAACTGATAATGGAAAGTTAGTTTCATTTCCTGTAGTGTAAGTATCTTCTCTCTTCAATATTATTTCTATGATAATGGAGAACTATATATATATATATATTTTTTTAATATACTTAGCTGAGTACCTACTTAATTTTATTGTATGTGTACTTATGAAAAGGTGGCAGATTGTTTTTAAGTAAACATATAAAAGATATTTGCAAAAATAACTCTTGAAAAAGTAACACATAAGTCCATCACTTGCCAAGTAAAACAGTTCTTTACAATTGCTACGTTTGATTATCCACATTCAATGCATTTTTTACCTCTCAAGCTTTTGGTCGTTCATATCAGATACATCCGCTCCCACTACATTTGTGTTTGTTTATTCAAGATGTAGCTGTCGAGATTACTTTTTTAAGTCTTGATTTTTAAGCATGTCATTATCATTTTCATCAAGTGAGTAATATGTCTACATCTACATTTGAATCTAATTCTAAATCATGGGATCAAACTCAACGTCTCAGATGCATCCGATGTGGATAAACAAACACCAAATGTATGTCTTGAAACCAACTATTTGATGGAAAATTATAACCACATAATAGCCAGTGTTTACTTCTGCCAAACATATACAGAAACAAATAATTGTAGATATATGTTATCTTGAGTTGTACTTAATATTTTTGCTCAGAGCTTGATAGATTATTGACAGAGTTATGCGAGTTATTTCCTTCTCACCCTCTACATTCATAATATACATAATCAGACATTTTTCGAGTAATCATGTGCAAGCTTGGTTATTTAATAATTATTAAACGTTAGTTTCATAATAATAAACTATGGAGAAGTTATAAAGGTAATGTCGAGGGGACGCGCAGGGCTTTTTCTACAGGGAAGGATCCTCCCCATAGGAGGCCCCCCTCTATAGTTTAAATTAAAAGTTTTTTTTTTATTTTGAATAATTGCATTTTGAATAGTTAGCTAATAAGGATTGTAACATGTGCCCAGGATATTTGTTGAAGTGGTAAGTTAATCTTTTATTGTCTATTTGTTAATACAGAGCCCTATATTTGTGTATGTCGAGTTAGGACATATTTTGTATAATCGTTTTACACTGTGTTTTCTTCGGCCCCTTTTCAGGGACGAGTTAGGTTCTAACATCAAAAGTAGAACCCTCATACATTTAAAGACTACGAAGACAAATTTAAGGCTAAATAGTGTTTACATGATTGAGGTCTGAATTTATATGTTTTTCCTGATAACCCCCGAGACACAGATAGTCCCATAATTATTAAAGAGCACGTAAAACGTGACATTTTTATTAAGAACACTCATAACGTGACTATAGTAGCCAGTATTTTTGATAATAGATCTTTTATAAAAAACCAAAATAAAAATATAAAAGGGAGAAGGAAACATACACATGAAAGAGAGAAATATAGTTGTGATATAAAAAATATAATGTTAAAGTTTTTCATTACTAATCCCTAAGAAATATCCTTAGGATAAACTGCTCTTTTTATTACTAGGTTTTATTTTTAGTCAGTTGCTGTATGCTGCTCCTGAAATATATTTAGATGGTATTCATAATAGTTTACCAAATCCTGCAGTAGATATTTGGGCTCTAGGAATAATTTTGGCAGAGCTTGTATTAAATAAAAAGTTATGGAACTATTTAAAAGTTGGCCAAAGGATTAGAAAAATTTTAAGTCTTTTGCAATCAAACACATCTGTTTTTGAACGAATTGCAAGAGAACACAATGCATATGATGAATATACTGTGAGTTTACTTTTTCTCTTTGGTTTTAATGATTTTTAAAGCATATAATCTAAAATTTGGAACATATTTACTAAAATAAATGAAAAGAATAATAGATATTCTATCTCTACTGCTTTTATCTGGTGCATAGTCTAAGCATTTGGGGGTACTTTATATGGCATTGAAGATATAAAAAAATGCTTGAAATAAAATAAGTTTGGAATTTTTTTATTTATATTTTAAACACTTTTTGATTAGATGGGCCGTACTCGATATATTTGATAACATTACAGGAAAGTCATGTGTTGGTACATGAGATATTTCTATAAATGATTCACTGCCTTAAAGTAATATAATTTATAATATTCTAGAATGTCCCTGATGAACTAAAAGAAATCATAGAATCATGCCTTAACATTGATCCAACAAAAAGGCCTACTTGTGAAGATCTTCTAAAAAAAAGCATTTTCAATGAATTTCTAATCCAGAATGGATACATAAATAATGATGTAAAAAAATTTGAAACATTTGCTATAAGTGAATTGTACCACTGGTGGCAACTTGCAGGTGGAGATGTATTGCAGGAGTTAAAGAAGCAAGGACTTATTCGATCCAGTCCACCAATATTATCATTACCTCAGTAAGTTTAATTTATTGTTACTACTCTTATTTCTAAAATGCAAAGACAACAACCAAATGGTAAATATTCAGATTTGGTCCCCACATGCTTAATGAAGTAAACACGTAGTTCTTTACCAGAACATTTATTTAACAGTTATAACATCATTAGGCAATGCATTTAAATTATCATGAGATGATTTGTTCAGCAAATCTAATGTTATTTATGTTATATGGTTTGATTTTTGTCAATTTAGTTGATTAGACAACACAGTTTTGAATTAAAAAACTGAAAGAATAAAGCACAAAACCACCAAAAAAATTAATATACCGTGTGTTCAAATTAAAGTGTTACAGTTAAATACCGCCGAAAATGTGCATTTTAGAAACAAATGTTTCAGACAAAAGTTTTATAGTTTTTTGGGGGAAACAGTTTGGCTAAATTAATTTTTTTATAGCTGACCATAATATGGCCATAACGAGATGGAATTTTTTTTTTTTTTTTTTTTCAAATTGGAACCCCAGTTTGTTTTAAATTGGAACCCCAGTTTTTTTTTACATATTCTTAAAGTTCATAAAGAAATAAGAAACTTTTGAGGGAAATATTTTTTTTATTGGACTTTTACTTTTTGAGTAGGAGCTGCTTGAAAATTTTGCTGCGCGAAAAAAAAGTTGGCCATATTATGGTTAGCTATAAAAAACGATTTTAGCCAAAAAATTTTCCCCACAAAACTATAAAACTTTCGTCTGAAACGTTTTTTTTTTATAAAAGGCGGTATATAGCTGTAACGCTTTAATTTGAACACCCGGTATATACTACCTTAATGTGATAACATTTTTGTTCCCATGGCAGTTAACTTTTAACAAAAACAAACCCTTCTGCCATTGAATTTATCATATATGGTTTTATTTTTTGTTAAATATTAATGGCAGGTAGTAAAAAAAGTAGTTGTAAGGGTATGTTACCAAATTATTTCTAACGTTTAAATGAATTCATTGTTGAAAATAATATAAATATAATGTTAAAGAATACTTATAACTTCTTTTTTTATAATTCTACTGTCGCTGACACACAGATTACGTCATCATTATTATACAAATATTATGCACATTGAAATGTGTCAAATTTACATGGCCAAGCCTAACTTTTAAAAAAATTGAATGGCATAGACACAATGAGGTTGAGTAATATAGAGATGAGATGCCATTAAGAAACGACACCACCTCTCCCACTCTAAGAACCCCTGTTATAGTTTTTATAAAGCTGTCAAAACTTGTGCAAATTTAATTATTTTGGAGTTGGGTCCAAATTAGTATTTTTTAATTATTGTATAGGTAAAAAGTATGATTAAAATGTCCTAATCTTAACTGTACATGCTCCAAAATTAAAACTACATCTTCCTGCGTTATGGCCATCATATCCATTATTATTGCACAAATTAATAATTAAAATTGATAGCCAATCTTAAAAAAAAATTACAACCATTTACAACGGGTATAATCAGAGATAACAGGAGATATAGCTCTATTCATGAAATATAATATTCGTGACAACGACATCGATACAGTCCAGTTACAGATCAGGAGTGAAGATACATGCGGTGTGAGGTATGGGAAGTAGAGGAGTGTCGTTCGCGAACGATTCGTTCAAAAAGAACGAATCAGTGCACTGACTCGAATGAATTGATTCCCTCTTTTTAAAAGATTCGAATCTTTTTTAAGTCAATTGCTCGATGGCTCTGCGATCGATCAAACATGCCGAGTTTAGTTGCTTCGTTCATTCGATTCGGATTCGATGATTTGGTATTTTACATCGGCATCGGCAAATTGGTCGCTTTTATTCTACGTTCTACGGCATAATACGAGACTCTGACAGGCGGTGGCGGAATGTGTCTTTAATGTTTTTCTCACTTTACAGGAGGTGTATATTAAGCTTAGGTAAACAATTTATGCGTGTTGTCTGATAAATAAATTTAAATCAAAGTAAAATTAAAACAAAAAATGACGAATCGTGAATATATAATTTTCCGTTAATTTTGGCATTTACAAAAAAAAATTGTGTTATTGTTGTTTATCTTAACGGACAAGGATGTATTTATTATTCAGCTGCCTTTTTTTTATGAAATATGAAACATTAATTCGCTTTACTTTAAAATAAATCTGGTTATAATTATTTTACTCGACGACGACGACTAGGTAGATTAGGTAGTACTCAAATTCGTAAAAGTTCGGTTCGATTTCCTTCGCCGGATCGGTGGAATAACATCGTTCGTGGTTCGCTAAAGTGAATCACTTGAGAACGAATCTTGAAGAACGAATCTTTTTAGGCGAATGAATCAAATAAATTAATTGAGTAAAAATTATTACATCTAATTCAGTGAAATTACATCTAATTTAGTTAAATTTGATATACCTATTGATTCAAAATTTTGTGCTTCCAGTTGCAATAAAATAGGTTGAATTATTTTAGCTTTCTTAAGATATGTAAACAAAACGAGAATAATGAAATAGACAGGGCAACAGCGGATATTATACTGTAACGATTGTTTAATTTAAAAATAGTTTATTTATTTAAAACAGTTTATATATAATTTATTTATAACGTACTAATTAATGTATTTAATACTTAGGCTCTATTATAACTTACACTTCTACAATTTATCTAAACTATACATTTATATTGAAACTTAACGTCTACCGATAAAGTCGCGCTAATTATATAGAGCCAGCTCTGCCCGAGTACATTCTTAACTGTCTAGAATCTCTGGAAATTCTTCTTCTATGAGTTAGCCGGCATGCAAAGATTTCTCTGGAAACTTCTCGAAGGAGTTCGTTTGTCTCTATCCTGCTGTATCGAAACATAGACGAAGCGGCGGCTGGTAATGGCGAGAGGACCAAGATCAGCTTTATATGGTTGTACGACAATATCTCTTAGAATATGTCTTATTCACGACAGCACGATATTTGTTTGTAGTTACATCTCCTGTTATCTCTGGGTATAATCATCTACTTACTTATTTTTGTATTAAAATGTACAAAAAGACGTACCTAAAACATGTAAGAATCTACAATTTTTTAACTAAATTGACAAAATGAGAATTAACACATTATGAATGCTAATATTGCCTATTTAAAATTTTTGCTTGTGTTTCAGTTTGGTGCTGATTGAAGGCAATATTTTGGGACAAGAAAGAAACCCAGCAACTTTATATGACCCGAGAATTGTGGAAATGCCATTGGACGCTCTGTATCAAAGATTCGAGAATATATCTTTTTCAGCCTTTTATCCTTTGATACAGATCAAATCTAAAATAATATCTCAATCGGAACCACAGTCATATGATGCAACAGGATTGCCTCTTATCATTAAAGAACGAGACCCAGAATATCAGTTTCATAGGATAATTTTGTTTCGAAGGCTTCTACATGTAAATACCCTTATACTATTTAAAAGTAAATAATGTATCCATCTTTAACTAATTTGTGTGAGTGTGAAGAATTTTATATAGTGGGTTTCAATGAAAACTATCCACTATAACTAAATACCTTTTTCAATAATAATTGGGGTGATACATTTATACTTGAAATTAGTTTTCATTGAAACGCACTGCATATTGTTTGATTTGGTAATTCTGTTACCATCCGAAACAGGAAAATTGTAGGTATTCTGTTTTCTCTTGGCTATTTTTCAATCCCTTTCTCTTTATTTTTTACTGTATGTAGCCCCAGGTAACCCTGGGGAGGTAAATTAAAACGGTGGTTAGAGACGATCATACGGGGGGAAGGGAGGGACAGCTAAATAATACAACAAAGAAAATACAGTATTGAATTTAAATTAAAAAAAAACAACACTATTTTATATTAGATTATTTAAGTGCCGATCAATTAAGCACGTCAACAACCAATTGCACATAAACTGTTGTAAATACTAAAATAATATGACTCATACTCTGAGACAGACTTTAACTTTGTTGATGTGGTGCATATGTAAAGGGTGATCCAATTTTAGTTTCCTATATTGGCACTAATGTAAATCAGACAGTTGGTAATAAGCATTTGTTTTTGAAGCGTCAAAAGTCAATTTGTAGGAACAACTTTACGAAATGGATCGCCTGACAACCGCTTAACGCATGCAAATTGTGTGATTGTTTTAGCAAAACAACAATTTCGTACGAACTGTATACAGACTTTTACACGCAGATTATGGTCAATTTAATCATCCTACTGAGCTAACTATTCGAAATGTTTTAAAAACTTTAAGGGTACTAGAATTGTTGCATTTAGAAGAAGGCCTTCGCGTTCAGTTGAAAATATTGCTGCAGTTAGTGAAAGTGTAGCTGCCAACCCAAGAATGTCGATTTGTCGGCGCTTGCAAGTTTTAGGCTTTTCTTATGGCCGCTTCTGCACCGGGATTTGCATTTACACTCAAGAATGAAGCCTAGAGACTATGAGCAGCGGCAAATTTACGCAATTTGGGTATAAGCTCAAAAGGAAATCGATACTGACTTCTCAAAGAAATTTTTTTCTAATGAAGCGTATTTCCATCTGTCAGGGTACGTAAACAAACAAAATTGCCGCATTGCGACCTAACTCCATTAGATTTTTTCTGTGGGGGTTACCTTAAAAGTCGTGTTTATGTCAATCAACCCGAAACGTTAGAACATCTAAAAAAACAATATCCGCCAAGTTATCGCCCGAACCCAGATAGCACAAATACGTCTTATGGATGTTCTAAAAACGTCCTGCTTGGACATTCAGGACATCCTTACAACGTCCATTTCACGGACGAAGACGTCCTATGGACATCTTTGATACGTCCATTGTTAATAACCAGGATGTCTTAAAAACGTCCATTTAAGAACATTCCATGGACATTTTCATAAGCTCAAATGGGGAATAACAGGATGTTTAAGGAAATTAGTAAAAATAATGATTAATTTAAAAAAAAAATATTTGGAAGCAAATTACCTATGAATAACAAAATTATTAAAACTTTTTCTTTAAATTCATCCCGTCTCTCCTCTACTTTGCTCTTTTCAACCATGCCTGGATTGACAGCAGTTCAGTTTTTTTTCTTGATTTGGCCATATTTGCTTTCTCAGCTGAACCTAAAAATATTTTAATCGCTTATTCAAAATGAAAGTCAGATCAATATGAAAATCCAATCTGTTTGTTTAAGTTTGCCCTGCTAGACATTATGAATTTACTAACCTTTTAGCTTTGTAGTATTCACTGGAAAACTTCTCAGAGATAAAAATAATACAAACTGCAAAAAATTAATATTAATCAACCACAAACTCACAGAGACGAATCACAGCCAAATGGCGGAATGATAGAACTTGTACATACCATCGAATCATGAACATTGAACATGTTTTATAAAACCTGAGCCCTGAGAATAGAGAGTTATTGCAAGTTCACTTAAGGTCAGCTCTTATTTTGACATCTGAGCATGCGTAGATCACTAACTTTAATAAAGATTGTGCCTGTCCTTAATAAGAGAGTTATTGCAAGTTCACTTAGGGTCAGTCACTATTAGTGCCGCTCTTATTTTGACATCTAAGCATGCGCAGATATTTATGTTTGTTAACTTGCAAATAATTTTCACAAAAGGTTCTCAGGTTAAAAACAAACTTTATTACGAAAACACAATAAATTCTTTATGACAATGTTGCTTATTATCATTATGGCTACAATCAGTACAATCGTTACAATACACGACAAGACACAAGACCAGACAAGAAATTAATACATCAATATCGTTCGATCACCAATGCTCAAAAAAGTCGTTGTAATTAAATCAATTCGCCCCCTGGCAGAGAGTTTTCACTCCTGCAAAGCAAGGAACGCACTCTTTACAGTCACAAGATGGCACCTCTTGCATTTCTGACTCTCGCCGCAAGGTGGCGCTATAAGTTCTTAACAATGTTCTAAAACTGACTTTATTAAGGATTGTGCCTGTCCTTAATTGTGGATGTTTAAGGGCAGCAGGTAGTGGCGACTTTATAGCTTTCGGATGCGCTCGTCATTTAAACCTTCTAAAATTATAATTTCTAATGCCTCTTTAATATTAGGTACTATTATAGAATTTATTTGACTCTAATTACGATGTCACTATTAGTGGCTGGCTTTATAGAAATTTGCAATATCTCTCTATTAAGGACAGGCACAATCTTTATTAAAGTTAGTGATCTGCGCATGCTCAGGTGTCAAAATAAGAGCGGCACTAATAGTGACTGACCTTAAGTGAACTTGCAATAACTCTCTAATATTTCAGTGCTTGAATCTAAATAAATAATAAAAAAATAACAGAATGTCACTTTTGTCAACAATGTCCCTTTCTTGCAGTGACCTTCTTCGTTTTTTGTCTATTTGGCCTTCATTCAATTGGATATTGGGACAATGCCTTGTTTAATAATTATTTTTATTATCTCATTATATTTGTTGTTTATATAAAATAACCAAATAATAATACAATGCGAATGTGAATTTATGGAAATATAATAAAGCACATAGAATTGACGTTCTACGGATATCTATTTCTTGACGTCCCGAGGATTTACTAAACTGGACATACTTAGAACGTCCAGAATTGGTCCTTGGCGTATTGACGATTAATGGACATGTAATGGACGTCCTGTGCTATCTGGGAAAAGTTTAAAAAAGTAATTGAAAATAACTAAAAAGAATCGACTGTTGTAGAAGGTCTAGGGGTGGCCATTTAAATTATATTATTTTTCATACTTAATGAAATACGTTTTCTATTGCTAAAGTTAAAATATATATTTTTTGTTTTATTTCATTTTAAAGTTCGAAAATTCAAATTGGACCACCACTTGTAAATAAATTCGACTGGACAAGTTAATGGCATTTTTTGTAGATATTCTTCTTTTTTTTAACCTGCTGTTATAAAGCTTTGCCAGGTTATAGGTAATAATTTACTTGGAAATGATGTGGTAATCTACTTGAAATAAATACACAACTCAAGCAGCATGGTGAAGCTGTTTTTTAGGACATATAGAAATGCTCCGATAGTGATAATACATTTGCTGGATACCGCCAGGTAGCAGCAAATTGACTGAAATAGAAATTGGTTGAAGCCTTTTCTAGAAGAAGGTAGCTCTATAAACAATGGAAACCATAAATATTCTTTGCTTTAGAATTGAAGCTGAAGACAGTCTTAAAAATCCATCTAAAATAGGCCACTGGAACGAGCTACATATATTAGCAAAATACTCTACAATTTTCAAAAAAGTCGTAAAGGCTTAGTATTATGTTTGGTGAAACAATAGATATCGCATTTATACAGATCGGAAGAAAAATATTTAAGGAAATTGCGATTGCTATTTGATTTTTTGGACTTTTCTTACATTGACCGTTTTTGACGATAATATTGGTCCCTTTCGTTTTTAAATGCAACGTAAAGTTACAAAAACAAGTCATAAAATCAATTGTGACACATCGTTAAACTAGGATTTCAGAGTACAATCAATTGTTGCATTAAAAAAACCAAGGTGACCAAAATTAAAATAAAAGAGAAATTGGCATGTCTTAAACCCCCACATCCCAAATTTTATAGATTTCTGACAACCCGTTTTAGAGAAAATCAGACGTTGTTAGACTATTATTCCACTGTCTATATCTCAATTATCGCTGATTTTAAGATAGAAGATTTAACTATGTCATATCATCATCTGAGGAATTTATTAATACAAAAAAATTTTTTTTTTCATAATTTCTTAGAGTCCTAAATTTAAAAATCATCGTCCACCTGCCTTTGATATAAACTATCACACAATATGGGTATAAAGGTTAGTAAAAAAGTATACGACCCATAAGGTATAAGTGCTGCAAGTGAATGCCCATATCTATACTTAGTGTACAACGACTACATACCACCTCTCCTTCGTTTCATATTACTTACTTGTATTAATCATCGCATCAAGCATAAAGTATAGTAATGCATGAACTTTGATTTCATGTTATTCATATGTTCAACATTATGCAACTGTTTGCGTAAAGTAGATGATTTTGATTACAAAAAATGTTACTTTATATGTCAAAATTAGAAAAATTTTAGGAGACACCTAGACATTAAGAGCCTGTTTTATATCCTGATAATTTGACAGCTCGGTCATTTTATAAATTATAAAATTATGGCTGCTAAAGCTTGCGTCAGAAAGTACAAGGGGACGATGCAACTACGATTTACTTTGCATCGGTAGAACGCTCTTAAGTGAAAATAATTTGTAAGATGTTGATGCACAAGTTTGAGTGATAAGTTCCCGGTGTTCAAATTTCGGCTGAAGATAAAATTATTTTCTTTTTTTTTTAATATAAATTAGCAAAATTCAATTTTTTGGGTTAATTATTTTCAAAAAGAAATTTAATTTTATTTTATAGATTTTCTTTAGTGGATCGTAGAAAAAATATACATACAGGCTTCTAGGTTGTACTCAAACTTCGTCTTTGTGCGTTATGACCATCATATCATTTCTTGTTGCACAAACTACTATGTTTAAGTCCACGAGACTCGGACTTCTCTTCTTGCATCTTGTTTTAGGGAGGCCAACCCGCATTATTAATTGTGGTTACATTATACCTATTAAAGAAAAAAAAAAGAAAAAACCGGTTACAAGAAGGATTAAATGTTTATGTTATGCTACTCACGAGTTAAAAGGGGAATTTCAATTTACATCTGGAATGTAATTTTATTGTATTTGTATTCATATCTCAAATGTGGTCAGCTTACTCAAACAAAAAATAATCACTCAAAATCTATACCACATAAGATTAATTGAATCGGTGAATTCGAAAACCGTACATGTCCAAAATCAGCCTTCCGAGAAAAACAACAAAAACCTTTTAATGAGTCACGAATATGTACGGTTCTTCGCCTAATTTCACGAATGTAATCAGCTGTACTACATTAACGGATAGGTATTTAGTACGGTTTTTAAGCTCAATCGATGAAGAGACAAATTTTAAACAAAATGGCTATCTTACTTTAATTTCGAGTTTTTATTTTTTGTTTATTGCCATTTTATTTTTAGGGTTATCCATTTACTAAAGATCTCATTAGAAAAGAAGCTGAGAAGGACATTCCACCTTTATTGAGAGGAGAAATTTGGGCAGCTCTGTTAGATGTTAAAAGTGATTATAAATACCGATATATGAAATTAGATAAGTACACACTTACGCCAACTGATAGACAGGTTAGTATAGTTTTTTTAAATTAAAAAATAATATAAATATCTTTATCGCCAACCGTCAATAAAGCCATACATTACCATAGCGATTTGCGAAAGTAAACAAACACTTTATCTCACTGTAAAAATCAAATATTTTATCTGCCGCTAATATTTATCAACATAGGCGTAACCATCTGACAGAAAAAGTCTGTAACTGATTTGTTTTGTATTCGCTGTTATTTTTCTATTTCTTTACTTTGTCATACTAAAATTTGATGTTATAATATCTCATGTTTTATTAATTATAATCATTTACGATTGGCGATAAAAGTTTGTATGGACCACGTCAGCAAAGTGTATTTATCGAATTTGCCTGTTACTCGCCTTGCTCAGTTCTCTCGCTCGGCTCATGATCTCAGAATAATTCGACTTGGTACATAAATAACTATTATTTGTCACCAATTGGTTATCGACTGTATATAAACTAAACTAAACTATGCATTGAAAATAATTCCAAAATTAACGAAAAGAACTAAAATTACCTAAATTAAATCAAAATATTAAACGACAGTTCGTAAACTAATATGGTCATAAAGGCGCCGACTTTCGTTTATCACCTGGGGAGAGAAGATATCATACCATGACGCGGGAGAAAAAAGATCCTCGCCTCTCCGAAGTCCAATGATATGCTCGGCGCCTATGAATACAGTGACTTCTTCTAGTTGAGAGGGAGTAAGAGTCACATATCACAAATATATAGCTAGTATTCTATTGAGGTTTGGATACTTGTGTTATTTTGTTTTTCTGGAATTTTGGTATTGTTTAATGATTGTATTTTGGATTTTAAACTATTTTATAATTTTTCATAGTTTAAAAGGTAAGCTAAAAACCAGCAAGAAAAAAATTATGGAATCCATCCCAAACAATTAAAATAAAGGGAGAAGATTAATCTAGGAAAAGTCTGGGTAGCTATTCTTGAATTCAAGGTAATAGAAAACCGGTTTTTTTTCTTTATCTGCAACGCACAAAATTTGTATTTTTGTCTCTTTTTTCCTTAAAATTTCTATTCCCTGATATTCCATATTTTATTAACTATATACATTTTTCTACAAATACAAATAATAAAAAACATTCGATTATCCTTCTGCTAGCAGTTGAGCAATGCCGATGTTCTGGCCGGTATTTCTATTTTTGCCTTATGGTTTTGGCTTTTTCGTCTTGCTCCTTGTCGATTGACATTATCATGGGGCTGTCGGTAGTGGTGAGGGTTGAGATTTTGTTTGGCTTTAATTTTGTCGTATTCCCTGAAAAATCGTCCTAAAACCAGGGTTGTCCTTTGTGTGTGGTCATTCATTTCAAAATCTTTATTTACATATTTACAAATTAAATACAATTTCAATCACAATATAAATATATTTTATTTACAGACGGATATCTTCCTAGGCGCATTCCGGAAGTATTCCTCTTCTGCGATGACCCCAACGGGGCCATGACCGATGTCGTGGCCGTATACCTATATTGCTTATGTTAGAATTATGGTTTCCGTGATTCCTCCTTGCTGTATTACAGCATTATAAATCAGTATAGGCTTTTAACCAGATCAGTAATGGAATAGTAATGAGTTTTTGTGTGATTTTAATTGTGTCTGTCGTCCCTGAAAAACCAAGTGAAAAAACAGGGTTGTCCTAAATGTATGTTTACGTGTTAATTTGTGCATGAATTAGTCAAATCACAAGACTACACCGTTCAACCATCACTCGACACAGAGGTTCCGGCAGGCCAAAAACTTCGCACCGAGCAATGACGTCACCGTGCAGTCTTCCGTCCGACTATAGTTGGTAACTATTTGTCGTAGTGATTTGACTATTCAGTGTGGTCGCAGCTGCTATGGAGGATGTACGTCAAATTTTATCCTGTTTTCAGTCATATTTGTCCGTAATGAGTGCATTTCTGCAGTCATTCATGCCCCTGCTCACGCCAATTTCCCCGAAAAACATAGAGATCAAAGAAATCTACGTTAGTCTGAGAAAAAGCGCTTCCGCAGTCACATAAACAGCCACAGAAGCATTTTACAATGTCTTTTAGCGAATGTTACTGAATTTACTGTGTTGTAAGTTATGATTTTAGTTCAACAGTTTGAAGTTAAAGTCAACGTCCGTCATGAACGCGTTGTAAGTTTCTATTACCTCTCTTCCCGTTGTACAATTAATAAGTCTGGCGTTCAGTGCTCTGACTGCTCTGGTTAATTCGCCTATATTGATTAATGAGTTTAATTTTTGAAATTCTTGATTTAGGGCCGTAAACTGGTCCATGGCCACATTGGGGGTGGCATTTCTATGGTTTTCTGCTCCTCTAGCTGGTATTCTTAATAGTTCTGAAGTTTCCTGGATTTTTTTATTAGGTAGCGCTGGGAATTCTTCTTGAAAATTCCGATTCTGTCTCCTGGCCTCCCATTGGTTGATGGCAGGTTGAGGAGCGGGGACAAATTTTTTATTAGTATTTTGTTTGGGCCTTCTTTCCATCATTCTTTCGAGCTTACTGATATAGTTCTCACACTTTGTATAATTCGCGGGGTGATCTCCTTCGCAGTTTACACACTTAGCTGGTGTGTCTGTGGTTTTTGTGCAGGTACTGGTATGGTGGTCACCAGCGCATTTTAAGCATCGTGGCTGTCTACCACAGTTTGCCGTGGCATGCCCCCACTGTTGGCAATTATGGCATTGTATAATCATTTTGGTCGACTTCCTGAGCTCCCACGTTACCCTGGTATATAGTACTCTTCGTGTGTTTTTATTCAGATAATCAAGAGTTATTACCGGATCCGTAATGACCAAAAATAGGGGGCGTTCTTTTGTTTTCATCTGATAGATGGCTTTTGTGGTAATCTCGTGTTCTTCCTCGAGATTTGCCTCGATATCTGTGATTTTCGTCCCTTGTGCAAGACCTCTGAGGACGAAGGCGTGTGTTTTGTCGTCTCGGGCAGTATATGTGTGGTATGGTATGTTCTCAGATTTTATGTTTGAGAGCACACATTCATGATCTTCTTTACACTCTGTGAATATTATTGTGGTGTAGTTCGTGTGTTTAACACTAAATTCACCTTTAACTATGTCTTTCAGGTCTTTGATTAAGTCTCGCTGGTTAGCTGTTCTCCCGTCGATTACTATTGGCGGCATAGTATTTTTATTTTTGTTCGATCTGGCTTCTGTTTTGGCAAATTTTGAAGTATTTGTGTGTGGTGTCGGTTCTCGTCCAACCCAGTGATGCCCTGGTTTAGTCTTCCGTCCGACTAGAAATCGAGAAAATCCTCGATTTCTATTCGGAAGGCCGGCCAATCATAACGTTTGCTGTCGAACTGGCTCATATCAACCAGCAGTGGTGAGTTGTGTCTTTTGGTAATCTCTACGCTGTCGTGAGGTTATGCCGCTTTGTCCTGTGGATTTACGTGTCTAGCGACGTCTAAAAATATCAGGTTTTTGTGCAAACAGCCATGCCTCCTATTGGCACAATTGTCTTCTGTTATGTTGAAAATGTTTTCCTTAACGTACGTTGGAAGACAATTGTGATAGAACTTCTCGGATTTATTGAGAATAAATTCTTTTATAAGAGGTGTATGCCTGCTTTTGTGTGCATGTCAGTTATTCTGTTGTAGCGGTTCCCCCTTAGGGCTAGCCTCAGACACCTGTTTTGTGTTATTTGTAATCTTTTAAAATGACTTTCTGTCATAGAACAGAATACCGGACATCCATATGTTAAAATCGGCCTAATAATCTGTTTATACAGCATGAGCCTGGAATGTATGGTGGTTTTGCTGTTTCTATGCAAAATAGGGTACAATATATTCAGCATTTATGTGGCTTTTGCCACCCTGTCAGCTATGTGCCTCTCAAACGTTAATCTCCTATCCAGATGGAAACCTAGATACTTGATACTGGGCTTGACCTCTATCCTCTCATTTCCGACCTTGAGGTTGGTAATTATCGGAAAGTTCCTCCTGTGCGAGAATAAGACGGTTTCGGTATTACCTGTATTCAGTATAATTTTGTTCTCATCCAGATAGGGTATTAACGTTCTGTTAATATGGATCTCCAGCCTTCTGTTGGCTGTTTCCGTAGAATCTGAGCTTTTGTATAAACAGGTGTCATCGGCGTACAGTGTCGTCTCGATCCCATAATGACCCATTGGCATGTCATCGTTAAGATACTCCTGCCTCAGCAGTGTATGGTCATGTTTTCGTTGTATTGATTTTAATGTTAAATTTTCTGTCGTGAATGTAGATTGTATGATTTTTATAATGTGAACGGGGTAATCGCTCATATGCATTTTGTGAATTAATCCCGAGTCCAAACCGTGTGTAAGGCCTTTTCGGTATCCAAGACCACGAATGCTGTTTGTTTACTTTGATTAAAGGATTCTTTGGCGTGATGCGCAATGCACAGTATTTGAGCTACAGTGCTATGACCCTGTCGAAAAACCGTACTGAACTCGTGGAATAGTTTGTTTGTCGTCCGTTACGTTTCTTAGTCTCGTGAGCCATATTTTGTCTATTGTCTTTGCGATTCCTTTAAGTAAAGTTAATGGGCGATAACTATCTATATTATTCGCCGGTTTAACTTTTTTATGAGTCGGTATTATGTTGAATCAGAGGTCAGGTATGAGGGGATGGGAGTTGATAGATACCTGAGAGGATATTACTGCCTAGCATTCGCCTATTGCTATGAGAAAACCTTAAAAACTCAGCAGGCCATGCGGCATTGTGTCTCGATCCCACTACGTTCCAATTGCGAGTCACGCATTTCCGCAGAGCCACCTAGCCGATTATGACGCTCTTTTCTTTTTATATTCTGTGTAGAAATAGAAATACTTTATTCTCAGTATTCTATCTTCTATATTTCTATACCAAAAACGAAATACCACTGACTGAGATCTCCAAAACAAGTGAAGCCCAATTGACTTGAGATTTTATACACATCGCATTTTAAGGTTGTGAAACGGGGGTAAAAGTTTGTATGGGAGTATCAAAT